TTTCCTTGCGCAGCACTTCAATGAAATGTTATATAGTATGGGAAATCAGTGTTGCAAATGTACAGAAACTAAATATTTCAAAGAATTTTCTCAGCAAAGAAAAAAACTTGTGAGTGCCATGGCTTGGTCTGCTGTGTCCTCTGCAGTTAATACAATTGGCAATCTACTGGCTCAAGAAGCAATCTACCTATGGGGCGTGAAGGAGCAAGTTGATCGTCTACAAAAGGAGCTCAAATGGATGCAAAGGTTCTTAATCGAGGCCGATGCTAAACAGTCCAAGGACAAGATGATAAGCCTTTGGGTTGCCGAAATCAGAGAGCTTGCCTATGATGCCGAGGATGTCTTCGAGGACTTCGCTCTCAGGATCGGGTCCAGGAGGAGAGGCGGTCTTTCAAATTGTATCAAAAGATCCGCCTGCATCTTGGAAGAGGGATGGATGCTTCACAAAACGAGATCAAAGATAGAGAAGATCTTTACAAGTATCACTGACTTGGTCAGACGATTGCAAGCATATGGCATAAAGGAATTAAGGGAGGAAGAAGGGCCGAGTACTTCAGCTGAAAGACGGGAATGGAGGCGGCCTTATCCTCACATTATCGACGATAATATCGTCGGATTAGACACCGACGCCAAAAAACTGGTGTCGGTTATCGTCGACGCCGAAAGTGCATCCATGGTTGTTTCCATATGTGGAATGGGTGGTCTGGGGAAAACCACTCTTGCCAAAAAGATATACCATCATAGCCAAATTAAAGATCATTTTGATCATTTGGTTTGGGTGTATGTTTCTGAGCAGTGCCAGAAAAGAAGAGTTTGGCTAGACATTTTGTCTGGTCTGAACATACCCTTTGAAGTTGACTGGAAAAGCAGAGAAGAAGAGATATCAGAGAAGTTGTTTAAGTTCCTGAAGGAGAAGAAATGTTTAATGGTACTTGATGACATTTGGAGCAATGAAGCATGGGATAGCATAAAGCCTGCGTTTCCAGAAAAGGAGACAAGAAGCAAGATACTGATCACGTCTCGGAATAGAGAGGTAGTTTCACATGCAGATAACAGAGGTTACTTGCATGACTTGCAATGCCTAAACAAGGAGCAAAGTTGGGAATTGTTTCAAAAGATTGCATTTGCTCAACCTTCTATCGGTAACTAACTTATTTTCATTTAACTATTCTACACTACTTGAATAGCACATGAACCTCTGGCATATTAGATAAAAGTTTTATTTTTTTAATTAAATTATCTAGGAAAGTAGTTTAATTCTATTAATAGAAAAATTCTACGACGCGAGCATCATTAATTTAATTTATAAAAAAATAAAATTATAAATGACTTAAAGTATAATTATAAATTAGTTAAAAATTTAAAGATAAATTATTTAAAATAAAATATTAATTACATTATTTTCCATAATCTTTTTTGGGTAAATTATTTATACAAGTGCAAATAATTTATTAGTTTTTATTTTATTTTAAAATTTTCAGGCAGTAAAGATGAAGGGAAAATGAAAGATCTAGGCGAAAAAATGGTTGAACGTTGTGCAGGGTTGCCATTAGCCATTGTTGTGCTGGGAGGAATTTTGGTGACAAAAGATTCAGTAAAGGAATGGGAAAAGGTAGCTGAAAATGTGAGATCCTACTTGAAGAGAGGCAAAGGCCATGGAGTGGAAGAAGTGCTGGCATTAAGCTATGATGATTTGCCATTCTACTTAAGGCCATGCTTTTTGTACTTGGGCAATTTCCCGGAAGATTTTGAGATACAAGTCGATAGACTGATTCAACTATGGGTTGCTGAAGGTATCGTTTTATCAGAGGAAGAAGAAGATGGAAATGAAGGGAGCATAACAGAAGATTTGGCAGAACGTTACTTACTCGAGCTTGTAGAAAGGTGCATGGTCCAAGTACGAGAAAGAGACGTCGCAACCTTAAAGATCAAAACAATTCAAATGCACGATCTCATGAGAAATCTTTGCTCGTCAAAAGCAAAACAAGAAAGTTTTCTCAGCACTGTTGACCAGTCAAATGCATGTTCCATTTCCACACTACGAAGGATCCATAGAGTTTCTGCAACCGATGTTTTGTGGATACAGCGCATTAAATGTCCAAATCTTCGGTCAATTATGTTCTTCTGTGAGGATTCAAGGGATTATGAGTATTACAAACAGATGAAGGTATTTAGAAAACCGGTGCACCGGAAAATGCTTGATTACTTGAAAAAACTTGAAGATTCAGATGAAATTGGATGCCTCTTTGATTCAATTGCAACATACTTTTGGTACCTTGAGCTGTTTCTTGGAATAAATGAACTTTTCAGATACATGTTCAACAATTTCAAATTGCTGAGAGTCTTTACCTATGAAGGAAAAGCTTCTTCTAACATGGCAGCATTCAAGTTATCAAGTGATATAGGTAATCTCGTCCATTTAAGATTTTTGAGTCTAAGGGGTATTGACTTATTTTGTTTACCTTCATCTCTGGGCAACTTGAGGTGCTTGCAAACCTTGGATTTAAGAATTGATGATGCTTTTGTACCCAACGTGATATGGAGGATGGAGCAACTAAGACATCTATATCTCCCTAAGAAATTTAGTGTTATAAGAAAGTTGAAGTTGGGTACTTTGAGAAACCTCCAAACACTCGTGAACTTCAGCACCAAGGATTGTTACCTAAAGGATCTCAGCAACATGACAAATCTTAGAAAGTTGAAGATTCGTGGGGCGTTCGAGATCGAAGATTTTAATGCTGAGGACCTGCACAAGAATGCACCCATCATCCAGAGTAAATATCTTCATTCCTTGTCCATTTTCAATTATGGAAGAATAGATCCAAAACATTTGAATCACCTCCTTTCAAGCTGTGTTAGTATTTGTAAGTTGAGTTTAGATGTGGAGATAAGAGAGTTACCACGGTACGACCACTTGTCTCTGAATCTCGCTTACATAAAGTTGAGAAGGTGCAATATTGGGGAAGATCCAATGCCAACACTAGAGAAGTTGCCTAATTTGAAGGTTTTGGAATTGCATCAGCAAGCTTTCACTGGAAATGTGATGTTTTGCTCTGCACAAGGTTTTCCTAAACTCGAGTCCCTAAGCCTTGCAGATCTAAATCATTTGAAGGAGTGGAGGATGGAGGAAGGAGCCATGCCTTGTCTTCGACAATTGCAGATAGAAAGGTGCAGAGGGCTGACGATGCTTCCGGATGGACTGATGTCCATTAAAACCCTCCAACAACTGAAGATTGAAAGTATGCCTTTTGAATTCAAAGTAAGAGTGAAGAAAAGAGCAGAGGATTTCGGCAAAGTCCAACATGTTCCTTCTATCACATTCAAGGACTGTTTCTACTAGAATTATGAAATGACATTGTTTTTTCTTGTACAGGGAAAGAAGGCAATTGTATTGTGGAATGGAGATGTAAAATAGTGTTGTTATTTGTGTAAGCTGGTGTTATATAGTATGATAACTGTAGCATTGTTGCATATGATTTTAGTATGTAATTGGTTTGATCTTTCTCATATATATGATTGCAGAATATTCTCAATCTAGTCTTATGCTACTAGAGCATTGTTCAAAGAGTAGAGTTTGAACCTACTTTCCACAAGTACAGAGAGTTGAGGTAAGAGTTGTTTAAAATACAATGATCGGACTAGATAAAAATAAATAGATAAAAAATATGAAAAGAGCAAGTAGAACAATGGACGCACACCCTACGGATGGCTCCAAATGGCGAAACCTTAACCAACTCTTCATTGTTTGTGGTTGTTTAATGATGAATCAATACTCGTTTTCAAGAAACCGGGAATCGAGGTGAATCGAGTTCTTCAGCCGAAAGAAGTGAATCGAGGTGGCCTTACCCTCGCATTATCGACGATAACATCATTGGATTAGACATCGATGTCAAGAAACTGGTCTCGGTTATCGTCGACGATTAAAGTGCATCCGGAGTTGTTTCCACGTGGAATGGGTGGCCTGGGAAAGACCACTATTGTAGGCTACTTGTGAAGCATATTAGGATGACGACAGGGGAGAATTCAGATAATATTCAAACATTTTTTTGTTAATTTTAATGAATTTGGAATAGCTATAGATACTAACTCTCTCATGTTTGTTATCTAAGGACGAGTCTAGAGTTAATACTATACACGGATAGGTACTACCAATTGCATAATAGATGTGCAATACTAATAAATTCACTTTACGATCCAAATTCACTTTCAATATTTCATTTTGTGGTTCGTTTATCAATGCATTCAGATTTGTTCGTATCTATCTTTTGTTCGAGTTTAATTGGTTAGATTTTTTAATCTTTTTTTTGTATGGTCTTTTTGTGATCTTAAACGGCTAGTTTTTTGTGTTTAGCAAAATGTCCTTATTATGTGTTTAGTTTACGATTTTGATTGTAAACGTTCGTTGTAATTTAAATATTTTCTATTTTTAATAAAATTTCTATAAAAAAATATAAAACATTAATTTTAACATATTAAATAAAATTTTAGTTTGTAAATAAAATATTTATTTTAAAACTGTAAATTTTATATAAATACTATTTTATTTTATTTTTAGATAAGTTGCATTATATTATCTAAGAAAGCAGAAAAAATTTGCACAAAGTACATGAAAAGAAAGGGTCTCCTTTACAAAAAAAAAAAAAAACTAGGAGATACCCCAACACATAGGCATGGACCCAGGCCACCGAAAGGGAACCCTCTTCAGCCAGCAATTTACGAATAAAGTACATGATACAAGCACGGTTCCAGCATCGAATGTCCCTTAGCCCCAAATCACCTTCAAGTTTCAAGGAACACACCGACTGCCAACCAACTTTGGCCCCCACAGCCTTACTATCCTCTCCCTCCCAAAATTAACGCATGCAAAGCTGATTGATCCTGTTAATAACAGAATGGGGGATTGATCCTGTTAATAGCGACACCCAAAATTAGCCGTCTTGATCAACTGTAGCCTCCCAGCATAACTCAAAAGCCCGCTCGACCATTGCCCCAACTTGGTCTTAAATTTCTCCAGTAACGGCTGTTAATCCCATAGCCTCCAAAATAGCCGACAAAAACTCCCAATTCAAAGAATCAAAGGCCTTTTGAAGATCAATCTTAAGAGCAATCATAGGAGATAAGGTTTTCCTAGCATAGCCCTTGACAATTTCCTGAGCTAACAATGTGTTATCCACAATACATCTCCCCTTCACAAAAGCAGTTTGATTGAGTGAAACCATACTTGGAAAAAAGGGATCCAATCTATCCACAAGAATCCTAGTGACAGTCTTGTAAACCATAGAGCAGTAGGAGACGGGTCGAAAATCCTTGGTCGAACTAGGATTGAGAGACTTAGGAACCAACACGATGGTTGTAGAATTGAAAGCAGGGTGCATCACAGATGTACTATAGAAGTACTTCACAGCAGCAGTAAAGTCCTCCCCTACAATAACCCAGCCAGACTTAAAAAAAAAAGGGAAGAATACCCATCAGGCCTAGGCGCATTATGACTCCCCTGACCAAAGATAGCAGTCCGGATTTCAGCTCCAGTAACCTCCTTACTCAACTATGTAGCGACACCCTCAGGCAAAGCATGCTGAAGCAAACCTCGGATACTATCCACATCACATCCCTGAACATTACAATCCCTGGTACCAATAAGCTTGATAAAAACGTCCTGCACCTCAGCAGACATATCCTAAAAAGTCTCCAATCTATTCTCATTTCCATTATACAAAGCTCTGATTGTATTTTTCTTGTGCCCAACAACAATATCAGAGTGAAAAAACTTGGTGGACTGATCCCATCCTTAAGCCAACTAACTTTAGCTTTTTGTCTATAAACAGTATTTTAATTTAAAACGATATTTAAAAATTTAAAATAATGAATATGTAGATAAGATTTAAAAAAATTCTATTGTTTTTATAAACTAATTTTAAATTAATCATTTTATTTATCATACTTACATAATTTTAAAGTAAACTATATCATATATCATTTAATTTTAGGGGAGTTATACCATTAAACTTTTGAATTTATCAATTACACATTAAATTTTAATTTCCGTAAATTTTGAAAACAATGGTAACACAAATAATATATATCTTAAATTGGAATTAAGATTAGAGTAAAGTACGTAAATGGTTACTTAATTATAAGATATTATTTTTTAGGTCTTCTAATTATTAAAAGTTATAAAATATTTCTAATTATATTGTATTGTTTTGTTGAGTCATTTAACAACTAAAAGTTACAAAAGATCACCCGACTATAGCGCGTTATTTTGTTGAGTCCCTTGACTATTAAAAGTTACAAAATGACGACTCGATTATTCATATGTTTCAACCTTGTCCTTTTTCGTTAAAAAAATAATAGTCGTTTAAGTTTAAGGTTAACTTGTTGAATGAGATATGATAAAATATAATCTCAAAACTGTTTGAGTTGTATAGTCGTTTGAAATTCTCTGATCATATTTTATCATATCCTAATCGTTAACGTCTAGCTTAGAGGACAACCAATTTTTTTAACAAAAGATGATGAGCTTTGAACATATGAATAGTCAGATGATTATTTTATAGCTTTTAATAGTTGATGGACTCAACAAAACAATGATTATCTGTGTACTTTACACTAAGATTAATTCTAAAATCCCAAAATAACTTGGGGACTAAGCCCAAATTTTCGCATTATAGTTTCATGTGCATTTCGTCTCCAAACTCAAAAATCCTAGCAGCGGCGGCGGCGCTGCCCTCCGATACCAAAGTAAACTCATGGCGGTGGTCGGCATGGTATTACCAATGCTTTTCCTAAAACGCCTCACTCTCTCTTCTGAAACCCAACTTAAACTACATAGCTTCTCTCATTCTCCACTTTTGTTGAACGGCGGCTTCTGACGTTTTTTATACCCCACCATGCAGACCATAACCTTTTTGATACCCCACCATGCAGCTAACTATATTGACACTCAAAGTTCAATTAGTTAGAACAATGGCGGCGATAAATATTGTCGACGATGGAGTTAATATTTTGGGATCGGAGATTTTAGGGTTTTTTTTTAAGATTTTAGAGAAAATTTAGTTTTTATTTTAAATTTTTAAGTTATTAAATAAAAAAATTCAAAAAATTATAAACACACCACATCATGTTCTAGTAGTTAACAAAATTTTGAATTTTTGGTCAAAATCAATGGTCAAACTGATCAAATATCAAAGTCAACGGATCTGGTTAAAATCAACGGTTCAGACCAGATAGGGTTGGAAATTTGGGAATTTGGGTATTATAACCCGAGCCTTAAGCAATTAAAACAGTTATTTAATTAAAAATAACACTAACAATGGCCTAGCCAAAATAGTTGGGTGATGATCGTCCATACTAATGAATAGTGGTTTGAAACCCCTCATTCACACTTTTATATTTTATTTTTTCTCTACCGAATAAAAAGGGAAAATTTAAGTTTAAGTCCCTGAACTTCTTGTAGATCAAAATCGAGTTGCAAACTTCAAAAACTTGCAATTTAGTTCCTAAATTAACTAAATTAATTTATAATTTTAATTTAAAAATGTGGGGTGTGACATTTGTTCTTTGTAAACTATAAAAATACTAATGTATAGAATTCTCTGTAAATCTTTATTCTTTTAAAGTATTTCAAAAAAGAATTCTTGATAAATAACTATTCAAGGTCAAATTGTAACTTTTTTGATCAAACTGATTAATATCAATGTTGTTATAAATTGTTAGAAAAAGGTTTGGTAGTAAGATCCATTAATTGATTTAGTGGTCAATGATACTTATATTATCTCACTTTATGTGGGTTCGAATCTCGACATTTGTTTTGAACGTAACATCTTTCTACTTATTCAAAAAAAAGAAAGATATTTGATAATTAAAGACAAAAGAATAAATACAAAATATAAAAAAATCATAATTTCCTGAGAAATTTTCAAATAATCCCTTCATTTTTTCCATGCCCAAACTAAACTCAATTCATAAATTGTATCGTACACCAGCATGATTTTGACCAAAATGTGAAAAAGAAATGGCCTCAAAAAGGGAAAGGATAAGAGAACTCCAATTGCATGTGCAAGCATGAGGGAATGGGTCCCAGAGCCATAAAAATTGAGCTACTCTCTTCACTAGAACATGCATAAAGTGATACTACTAGAGTAGTAGATTGTTTGTTTGTTGTTTGTTGATAATTGATAAAATAATATTTATTATATAATGATATCGAATATAACAAACATTATATGATCAGAGACGAATTAGGATAAGATACTGAGATTAAATTATACATGGGCCTAAAAATCATTTGAGTCAATAAATTAGAGGAGCTAAAGCCTAAAGGCTTATTTTGCATGAGATTTAAATTTTCAAGGACTTAAAGATTATATCAATAAGATTCCCAGTCATTCACATATTGATTGTCATGTCAATAAGATTAACGACTATATCAACACCGTAATAATCAATGTCAGTCAAAATATGTGTTAGAATCCATAGATTCCCGACCAAACATTTCAATTGAAGCATTGAAAGAAGATGAAGAATGGAACTTGTTTGAGAAAATGGCTGGTCATATTGTTGAAAGATCTGAAGTAATATCACCCAAATGTGTTGTCAAAATTATCCAGATTAGAAGAACTATACCTATATGATAGCTTTGATGGATGTTTCCTCAAATTTCCTTTTTATTTACAAAACTTTTGCACAAATGGTGTCTGTGGTTCATTAATGGTGTATGAACTTGAATAGCAAAACGCACTGTCTGCAACAGGTCTCGTGCTTTGAGCTACAACGACAGGAGCTTGTGTCTGAAAAGCTAAAGGGAGACTCCTAAATATTTAAAAACCAATAATATTGTTTATAACTCTTCTTCAATGATCATTGTTGCGATTGATAGATGAGAATAAATGAATCAAGTGGTTATATGTTGTTCACCCTTTCTGATTTAGGTAAAGAGTAATGTTGATCATCAGACGTCTAATCGATATCAAAGTCTTTTATCTTCATGACGGTAGAAAAAGGACAAGTGAAGAGGGAGAGTCCATATCTTCTATTAGTTTTGAATGAAAGGTTTTATAATGATCCTTAATGTTGGTGTTAGACGTAAAACCTTTATTGTTATTTGTAGGTTGACAAGTTCAGTATATACTACCAACTGACAATATATCTAGCTTTGATAAATCTCGTGGGGTCGTTGCTTTTCAAGGGTATTTAGTATTTAAGGCCTTTCTTTCGAAGATATTCTTCCAAAGTTTTAATTACAGAAGAATTTTCTTAAAGTCTTAAGACGCAGAGATCTATTCTACGAAGAAGATTTGAAAGAAGTACAATTACTGCCATTCATTTACATGTTTAAAAAAGAAAGGCAATCAAAGGAACCTGCAGAAATATCCAAAAATGAAGATGAAAATGGATTTTTTTTCAAAGAAAAAGAAGATAAAAAGTTTCTATAAAAATATAAAATTATTTCATGCGTTTGATAATTTCAAGTACACAAATAACCTAATCGAGTGCAAAAAAAAGGACTATAATTGATTTTTTTAAAATAATTCGAGGTCATTTTTAACCCCTTAAGCTTATTGTTTTCTATTATCAAATATTTATATCTATGATATTATTAAATGCTTGATTAAATTTAATACTCAATTAAAAATGACTAAAATATCTTTATTTCGAACTTAAATTAGAGGATAAGTGTTTGGGAATGATGCATAGGGGATATTATATTTCTATAAATTTCAATATTGAATGTTTCTCCCACCAGTAATATATAATACATTGATAATTCTATTAAAAAAAGACTTAATTAAGGGATGATCTTTTCAAAAAGTTTGCGAAGCTTTCAATAGTTGAATACAATGATATAATAAATAAAAAATACTCCATCAATTTTTTTAATACAAGTTGACTTGGAAAATTTAGGTGTAGACAGGAACAAAAATTAGTATTTTATTGTGATTGGAGTAGAACTCGTCGTCGTGATGAAATGATGAAATTTTTAAGATGTTATTTTAAATTTTAATCATTGAAATTATTTGATAGATTGCTTTCTATCATTGGCTTCTTTAAAGTTATATATATATGAGTTTCCACAAGAATCAATTAAAATTAAAGAATTAAGATCCAACTGTCATTTACATCTCGAGGAACTTATCGTGTTGGAATGACGAATTCTTTTATTTTGACTAAAAATGTGAATTTAATTACAAAGTAATTTTTAATTAAAATAATAATATCTTAGAAAATTTACCATTTTAGCATGACGAATTCACTCTCCACTACGATCATAATAAATTAGTATTAAAATTTTCTTCCGCACCTGTATTCCATATTATTCCCACCTGTATTATTATATTACCCTAAAAAACCTACGGAACTATAATTTATATCATATTTTGCTTGTAATAATATCTTACATATCATGTCACAGTCCACCCACCCCACCTACTAATACAACTTTTATTATATATTTTGTTTTTATAATTGTAAATGAGACGAGACAGATTGTGAGCTATTCGAGATTGACTCGATCAAGGCTCCATAAATACTCGGATCGAATGGACTCGACCCGAGCTCGAGCTCGAATCGAGTTCTTAACGAGTCGAAACGAGCTACTCGATACTCGACTCGAAAAGCTCGTGAGCAGCTCGAAAAAATGTTATTTATAATTTTAGATTTTTTAAAATTACATTA